TGCCTCCCAAGTGCTGGGATTAAAGGTGTGAGCCACCACTGCCTGGCCCATTTAAAATTTTTTAAAAGTTTAACAGATGAATGCTTGCTTGAAGGTACACACGCACACTGTGTGCATGCTTGTGCCTCCAGAAGTCAGAAGAGGACCTCATATTCCCTGGAACTTTAGTTAAAGACTACTGGGAGCTGAATCATGGTCCTCTGGAAAAGCATACGTGCCCTTAACTGACGAGCCATCTCTCTACTTCCTTTAAATTTTTTATTCGTGTGTGTGTGTAGGCCAGGGGTGGACATCAGATACCCCGGACCTGGGGTTACAGTTAATTTTGAGTCACCCAGTGTGGGTCTGAAAATTGAATTCTGGTCCTCAGGAAGAACAGCACCCTTAATGGCGGAGCCATTTCTACAGCCTCCAATATTTATCTTCTATGTATCTTTCCAGGGCAACTCGGTGAATAATAATACCATACACTGAGCTTGAGAATGTGGGAGATGCAGAGCATCTGCAGGGAGATTGCCGGTCTTCAACATGCTAAGTGTGTAAAGTCTTTCATCAGCCAGAGAGAAGGCCGTGTGCAGAAGTCAATTCTCCTTGACTTCAAAGGAGAATTGTGGACTGAGGACACAATTTGGGGAGTTGACACTGTATCAATGGTAAATGAACCTGTGGCATGAATGGATTTATTTAGGGAGAAAATGAATGACAAGTGAAGCTACAGTCAGGATTTGAGAAAATCCAACATCTAATGTCTGTGCACATGAAAAGTTAGTTTATGAAGGGTGGTGTTGGCTTGTCCCTTTAATCCCAGCACTCCAGAGGCAGAAGCAGGCAGATCTTTGTGAGTTGGAGGTCAGCCTGGTTTACAACTTGAGTTCTAGGGCAGTCAAGGCTGTTACACAGAGAAATCTGTCTCTAAAAACAAAAACAACAAAGAAACAAAAAAGCTAGCTTAGTAGGACTGTTTGTTCAAATTGTACACATTCTAAGGAAAACCTTATCTTTGGCTTCCTGGGAAGTAGCTTCTGAGTCCTGGAATACTCTGACTTTCTGTCTGCTTGAGGAAGTGGCCACAACTACATTTGACCTCTGGGAGGGAGGATAGTCAGAGTAGTTGAGCTGTGCCAAGGGCATTGCATGTCTCTGGGATTGACTCCCAATAAAGATCCTGCCCAATACGGCTTGGGTCTGCTTCCCTGATTGACAGCACAATATACCCGTTGGCACACATCATTGTTGAGGGCACTAATGTGACTCTAGCATGAGGGAACACCTGGAAACTTTGAGCCAATTTTCTACTGGAATTTGTTCCCTATGCTTTTTGCTATTGACAATTTTTTTTGTGGTTGTTGTTTTGTTCTTGTTTTTTGAGGCAGGATTTCTCTGTAGCTTTGGGGCCTATCCTGGAACCCACTCTGTAGTCAAGGCTGGTCTCGAACTCACAGAGATTTGACTGTCTTTGCCTCCCTAGTGCTGTGATTAAAGGTGTGAGCCACTACCATCCGCAGCTTTGATGATTTTTACCTATAAATTATAGGTAAAATGTTAATAAATTATAACAGACTTTTGAAATTGTGCAGGTTCATCCAGCAAATCACTGAGCCTGACCATGGTACTGGGGCCTCTAACACAGTCTGTAGCATGGAAACAGCAGTTCGAATGGTAGGAGGAAAACATGGCGAGGGCGTTACCTTGAGAGCCAAGAAAGTGAGTCCGGGAGAGAGGGCAACAGTATTGATTTCCTTTGAGAAGACAATGATGGTTGGGAGCCAAACGTACACAATGCAAAGATATGGAAACCAACCA